CAAACTACTCTTCCAACATTCCACAATTCCTTCTTAAATTCCATTGTCTAACGAGTAAATGATATGAATTTGACTCAACACTCAAGCTACTAGCACGACTCAATCTTCTTCCAAGTTCAATTCTAGGTTTCCACCCTAATCTCCTTCCCTGGCATGAATATGACTTAGCACTCACTAGCCAACATAGTTCAACACCTCAACTTCTCTTCTAACCTTCTATACTCAATGACCTTCTTCCTTCATGTCACAATTTTAATTTTTTTAACTTATTTCGATTATTAGTCAAATCAACCATTTACTCACTCCTAACTATGATAAATATATCATATTAATTAAATTTTTCTAAGAAACTATTTTTTCTTTCTAATTAATTAAATACGTTTAAGATTTTATTCTAAGAACAATACATATAAAAATCAATAGATAATCGATCTGATGCGAATAGAATTTTTTTCGAACCCAAATGAAATATTATTCTATCAAAATTTTATCACGTAAAAAGTGTCAACACAGCCTCCTAAATGAGTATGTTGTCAAGTTTAGAAAAATTTTATTATGTTCGAATTTTCTACCACGATAAACATTTTATTTGAAAGAGAAAGTAAATTTTTTTTATGAGTAAATTTTTTCTAATTCTAATTCTAATTCTAATTGATATTGAAGGGAAAACCTTTTATCTACCAATACTCAATAAAATATAAATAAATATACTTTTTTTATCAATTGGACTAACTTATTTGGATTTTGAAGCAAATCATACTTTACTCTTAAATAAAAATGGTGTGCGCTTCTCAAAATCGGTAGTTATTTTGTATGACAAGTATACATTAATATCGTAATATATTTTTATTAATAGCACAATACATATTACATCTAAATTTGTATTGATAAATATAGTTTTTAATAAATTATTAATAAAAATGTGACACAGCGTCAAGGTGCACCCAATGTAGAAGAATTTTTTTTTTTCTCCATTTTGATTTGTTTTCAATTCTAGGTTGATTTTAAATTAGACAAATGACCAG